AGGTAGCTGATAAACAGAGGGGGATCGCCGGAGAAAATAGTTGCCCGTGCAGTATAGGAGCGTCTAATCCCGGATGAGAGAGACAACGGCGGATGTGCGACGGCGATGACGAGGAGGTGGGAAGCGGGAGGCGGCGCAGACACATCTCTCGGATTACGTCTTAACAAGCTCCACGACGTTCATTTGTCTTATCCGCTGCCGCTAATGCGACGCAGCAGCTGTTGAAATGATTAATTCGGCGCGAGGACGTCCTCGTTCCTTTCCGCTCTCTGCTCCGCTCCGCTCCGCTCCGCTCCGATCCACTCTGCTGCTGCATGTTGCACCGCCCGCGAGAATCCCGCGTTCGACTTTGTCGAAGACGTGTCGCGGTTAATCAGCGCATTGCGGTTAATTACCGTTGCTGCGAAATACAAAGCCTGAACGAATAGCATCTCGTTCGGCACGTGTAAACATAATTCGGAGGGTGAGAAAGAAGGGGAGAGAGAGAGAGAGAGAGAGAGAGAGAGAGAGAGAGAAAACGAGGCTCTGAAGACCTTAATAGAGTTTAAATCCTAACTGAAAACGTTCTATCGTGTATAAAATCTCGATAATCTACTCGAGATTTATTATTAGGAAGCGTCAATGGAGAATTGTTCCTACATTCATTATATTATTATTACACAGTCTTCACATATGAAAGTGATTAAGAAAAAATAGAAACAAGGAATTTAATGAAAAGAGAGAAAGAGAGAGAGGGAGAGAGACAGAATGGCAGGGAGGGTAATTAGGATAGGATAAGATAAATAGATAAATAATAGAGAAAAAAAGAGATAATGTATATTTAAAAAGAATTGTATGTACTGGATATTGTGGCTGTGATAATGTATTTAAAACATAGAGATATATGTATGAGGTATAGAAATGCAATAAACAAGTAATTTTAAGCATGCGAGAGAGGCATGGATGGATGAGTGAGGCAGGAACAATGTTTGTAAACCAAAAATCCGCGTTAATCGATGATACGCTATTCAAAAAAAAAAAAAAAAAAACGAAGACATTCTGCGACATGTGTGTTTCGAATAATATTAAGGCACGTAGGTTCAAAAAGCAATTCAAAAAGCAAATCAACATTTGATTTGTTTACTTCGTTAATTACCTTACATTTACGACTGTGATTGGCCGATTCGCTTACTGTTTACGTCTTGCTGATTTACTTCTTTTATGTGCCACTAGGCTTAATCGATTCAATCTTAAACGTCGCAACGTTCGATAGCAATCGCATAAACGTGAATGGATTCAGAGCGCGGGTGTATCCCACCGCACGATCGCACGTCGTTCGTGGGAGAAACCCTTACAAACGTTTACACCACGTTCGCACTCTGTCCAAACAGCGAGACAGAGACGCGAACGCGCGATCTGATTGAATTAATTTTCAATTTGTGAGGGCCACCTGTCGCCGACGGCAGCGGCGACGAGCGGCGACGTGTGCGGATCGTCGATCGCGTTCGCCGTTCGATGACTAATCGAAGATTAGCGAGAACGAGACCGCCCGGCACGTCACGGACTCCTAGCACCCGCTGAGCGGGTGCCTCCGGTTACGATCGCAGCGAGAACGCCGGACAAAGAAGCGGAGCGGAGCGCAACAATTGCGCTTCGTCGCGCGGATATAGTGTTACAGGCGGGCGCGAGCGGAGAAAATGAGCGGCGCATATTAAGCCGGTCACGGCAAAATGGCCGACGTGGATGGAGGGATAAAAAAAGAAAAGAAAGAAAGAAAATGGGGACGCATTCGTCTCTCTTTCTCTCGCGCCGAGCACACGGCGAGCGCCGAACGAAACGGTCGACGCTTCCATACATAAATACACGCACACGCACGTCGCGCCGCGTCGCGTCGACGTGACGCGGGACGCGGGTCGAAATTCCGCCGTGCCGGCGACGCATGCGTCACGCACGCCGATCGAAAGCCCCGCCCGGCGACAGTCTTTGTTTAATCCATGTGATATCTACGCCCACGATAGCAGTGGCGTACTTCGAGATCTTACTATATAAATCTCGCGAGAGAGTGCCTATTAAAACATTGTTTAAGGTGATATATAGTTAACTATAGAGAATATATCGGAGTAACTAGTTCAAATTGCGTTGTAAATTCTTTGGCATAGATATGGGTTATTCGTTGACAGAATCGTTTGATAGAATCATTCCTCTCTCTCTCTCTCTCTCTCTCTCTCTCTCTCTCTCTCTCTCTCTCTCTCGTTTCTCAACGATTAGAAATTATTTATAAATCAACTCGGAAGTTACTTCTTACGTTACGTAGATCGTACAATCAAAACAGACATTTCATGAACTTAAGAAATATCCGAGGAAAAATGAATATAATTTTACAAAGTAAGCAATTCAACTAGAGAAGCGAAACAACAGGCCTCTTTAATCAGTGACTTCATTTTATATAAAAGCGATGTTTGAAACGAAGATTATAAATTTATTTCATTATTTCTTGAATCCTAATGTTGAACAGAGTCATGATGACATCACATAAGATTTTTAACTTAATTCATTTGTCAATTATAAGTGAACTTTAAGTGACAAATAAGGTTGTGATGATATTCTGATGATATATATGATTATAACTTCTGTGTTCTACTTGAGAGATACAATATAATAATGAACACACATACGAGTTCATGTCTCAACAATACATTCGCGTTATAGATATCGAAGCAGATATGCATTTACTCCACGTATACTGTCTAAGTAATAAGTCTAAGTTTATACATCAATATGTTAATGATCTCGTGTGTCCCCAGGAAAATACAACTGCAAGGAGATGTTCATGCAAGTGGTAGCGTGGCCGAGCGGTCTAAGGCGCTGGTTTAAGGCACCAGTCTCTTCGGAGGCGTGGGTTCGAATCCCACCGCTGCCAATCTTTTTGCGTATTTATTTCGAAAATTTATTCTTTTACACGTGGGAAGAAACATTGTCTTCATTATGACGTAAAGTTGAAAAAAAAAAAAGAAAATTATAAGTTATTATAACTTTACGATTATTTATCGTCGATAAATTACCGCGCTACTTATCGGCGTCTAACCGCATCGATAAAACAGAGCTAACACATGCAAATCAATTTAAATAGAGTGCGTTTTACTTAACGTTTGTAACACTCCCCTGCGACATCATTTCATCCTTATTATTTAACGTTTGATAACAAAATGATGCCCACATTACGAACGTCAACGTGGACGCACCCATAGTTAACATAGATTGTGTGAAATCTTGTTTTTTTGTTCTACTTAATTAAAAAATTGTATCGGTGCTATATCGGTAGATGGGAAGATAAGATACGAACGTAGCGATTAAAATTTAAGATAGATGTTCCGCGGAAGTTCCGCTGATTATTTAATTCTCAAATGTATAGTGCGATTACGCACTGTACATCGTAACACACACTCGGAAACAGATAAATATTGTCACGCTACCGAGTACACATTACACCGAGAAGTCGAATGAATGATAAAAATGAGACATCGCGGGTACAAGTCCACAGTTCAACAGCAATCAATTCTGACTCCAAAGCTCATTTCTCTTTCCTCGTAAAAAGGTAGTTAAGAGAAAACCAAGATGAAATAAATGCTAGGAAATAATTAAAAATGACGAAGTTTCTTTTTTTGGAATTGTTTGTATATATATCATATAGTACAGGACTGATTTTTAACCTGAATCATTATATTATACCTTCCGATTGACAATAAAACAAATATCTTTGTAAAATTATTGATTCATACTTTTCTCCATGTACAATACAAGCAGAAAATATTTCGAGCAATATAAGAGAAAATATTGTGAGATAATTTTAAGAAAAGAACCTAAGAAAACGACAATAGAAAATGAGAAATATTGTATGCTTTATTAATTTTTTTTTTTTTTATAAAAGTTAAATTTTTAATATTGTCGCAGAGAAAAGTCTCGCTTTCCTCGCTCCGGTCTCTCGTCGTCATAGAAAAACTCTTTAAATAAAGATAATCTGTTGTAATTTATTTAATAACTTTTTTTTTCTCCTTGCTCGTTTTTTCTGTATTCTTCTCTCGCCCGAAATCGAGCTGCAGAATATCATAGATTCGACGCCAGAGAGAGAGAGAGAGAGAGAGAGAGAGAGAGAGAGAGAAAATCAATTTTATGCGAAGAAAAACCGAGTAAACGGAATTTTGTCACCAGACAGATAAAATAGCTTTCGGATATACCTTTCCATCTCGAAGAGATCCGCGATAAAGAGATACCTATATCGCCTTGTGGCCTGTGAGCTCGTAACGCACAAAAAGTCTAATCAGTGATATCTTCTCCACAGTCCTCTTCACCTCGTGAAACGACCTTATATATCGGATGTTCTCGTTGAAGAGCTTCGCGAGGCGCCAAATACCTATTTACGAAACATCATTGCATCACTCGGCGAGAAACGTGATGTGTGTACAAAAGTCAACTCGTGATCGGAAAGATCTGTTAATACGAGACAGCATGCTATCAGTAATTAGTATCGTGTCTTTCAAGTGTGATCGTTAGTTTATCGTCAACATACAATATTATATCAGAGATGCTGGCCGCATAAATAGAAATTAGTGCTTAATAAACGCTTTGCAATTGGATTGTACTTTTACGTCTTGCTTGAGGAAAAAATCTTATCTCAGCAAAGAACTTTCAACAGTTGCAAAATAAACATTCTGCTGAACACGGCCTTGTCTTTACAATTACAAACGTTGGTTAAAACTGAAAGCGATCGTGTCTCGAAATCGAGAATCGTACATCATCATCGTTCGCAATATTCCGTACCGAAAAATTTTGATAGTCGCACTCCCCATTACTCCAGTTCGTGCGCGTCTGTGAAAGCACGCTCGTCCTCTACTAGAATAGAATACAATTGAATACACTCGACTCTTCGCCGAGTGTGGCTGGGAACGTAATCTCACACTCTGTTTAGCCCGCGTGACAACGCGCACGTGTCCGCTGCCTGCGACTTCTGCGTGGCCGGTCGTTGTGTACGAGGAGAGAGGATTTCGAGTGGCGTTAGGAGCAAGAGCAATTGTCGTCGCTGTTGATCCTCCGAGATTATTTCCCATGGTCGGGGATGTCAAGATCGTGCGTGTCTCAACGCGCGAAACGATCGAGTTACATATTCTGGCCTTTGCCTACGGTCTATGCCTGATAGTCCGACGATTCCTCAAATGGATATGGGATCCCAAGAAGTTCTTCATGTTGCGTCAGCGAGATCAGCCTCCGCCGTGTCTGGTCGACAACAGCCTCGCCACGCATTCCTACGTGAAAATCAAGGCGAGTAATGCATTACAGTGATGCCTGAATGGCACGATCAACATGCGAAGGACACTCGTTCGGATTCCCAAGTGCTCCTCGGATATTATTCTTATTTAACGTTCGATGAACAAAAATAAAATGATACTTGGGTAGCACTCGAGTGGAAATCTGAACATAGTCGAGATATATAGGAGAGGTACATCTTCCGCATCCCTTGATAACGCTGCCAGTGGCTTTGAAAGAATTCGCTCTTTTACTTCTTCGTGACTCCAAGATCATGTCTCCGGAAGCACAAATACTTAGTAGAAATATCAGAGAATTATAATGATATAATTTGATAATATTCTTGATATAATTTTCTAAAATTATATGCAAAAATAAATAGATTCTTCGTGTATAAGAGATTTTTAAATATTCTATTAATAAATAGAATTCTATTTGATAAATTATAAATAATGTAGCTATTACATAATTATTTAATCGTTACGATTATCTTGCAACTTTATCGTATTAAGTTCTTGCACTGAATTATATATCTCGCTTTAGAGTCGGTCTCTATTGTCGCCAGAACCGAAGTGTTTGTATATCGTATTGTTGCGCTGTCTAAAGGACGAGAATTAGCAGCAGTATTCAATTTTCATAATGTTATCGATGCAAATGTATTTAAATTTCATTTTTGACGTGGATTCATCTTGCAACATCGAGTGCAGGCGATACTCGAGTAAAGACTAAACACGTTGCACATATTGATAAACAAATATTTTTAGGTCGATACGCGGCTTCTTATCTCTATGCTTTTTCGATTTAATTAATTTTTAATTCAGATAACAAGTATCAAGACAGATTTGAAAATGTGTTTTGGGACATAAACGTAATAAATAGGAGGATTCTTAATTATACTTCAGTTTCTGATGTTATCTGATGTTTACTATAGCACATCTTAAAATCATATATAATAATATTACAAGTAAAACATGTCATGAAGGAATAGACACTTTAAGGCTCAATTTTACAATTCACGGTTAACTTTTAACCGAAGTTCAACTTCTTTCTCATCTCTTTCCAATTCTAGCACTAGAAAGAGATGAGGAATAATGAGGGTTAAATCTCGGTTAAGAGTTAACCATGAGTTGTGAAACTGGGCCTAAAAGCATTTTCTTTAACTTGAAGAAAAAGGTCTAAACCGGTCTTTTATATGACATTTCTTTCTTAGATTTTTTTTGGACTCTAAATTCATTAGTTATAAATTAATCTATAATTCCCACTGAAATCCTCAATCCGGTTTTATTCTGGAATAGATCAAATTTAATATCACGTCTCTATTGGAAGTATAGAAGTATGGAAGTAAAGATCTTATGGATCGAAGCAATAGTAAAATGAGCACAATCAAACGTATTTTTATCATTTTCAATTTTTTAGTTCTATACCGTATTAAATGCTTTGGTGAAAAATTAACCATTATCTGATATATAATTTTACTGATACATAATTTTTAAAAATTACCCTATTTATACACAAATATATAATAAATTATGTAATAATATATAAATGTTACATAATAATATTTTTAATAAACTCTACATCAAATTTTTGCAAGAAAACCCAAAGCATGTTATAACAGAAAACTTTGTTTAAAAACATATTGAATTGCGAATTTATTGTAATGAGAATTATAATAATTATGATAATCTAGTGAGTTGCTAAAATACTTTTAGGCAAATTCTTTTGCTAATCATTGTGTACTTTGAACTTCACAGAGAATTATCGTCTGCTGTAATGAATATAATCTAATTAAACAGTACTGCGAAATCGCTAATTACTTGTTTGTTGTCTGTCTTTTTTTATCGGGAGATTTGAAAAATTACAACTTATCAAATTGTTTAGTCTGGAAAGCAGATGGAGGATTCTTTCTGTCACCAAAGAGAAAATTACAAATCGTAAAGAAGAGCTACTGTTTATACATATATACACGAAAGATCTGATGTAAAATTTATTTAATTTTATTTCTCGATACGCATGTCGTTATATCGTTATGTCGTTACTCTATCATAATTGCGGTATATCTTTATTGTATTCATACAACCGCCAAACGCTTTCTATTTTAAACTTAAAGAACTATACGTTCGTGTAAACGAATTAATAATTTGGATTTTTTTTCTTCCGTTTAACTTATTTGCTTTTCTTTACGCAGGGTGTTAAATTCCATTATGTGGAAGCGGGAGACAAGAGTAAACCACTCGTGTTATTATTACATGGATTCCCGGACTGCTGGTTATCTTGGAGAAAACAGATCCCATGTCTCGCAGAACACTATAGGTGCGTTTGAAAATTTATGTTTATAAAATAAAATATTTTATAACACACGCGCTCGCGTTGTGACGCTCACATTTTAATGCTGTTTCAGAGTAGTGGCTATAGATTTAAAAGGATTCGGTGATAGCGACAAACCGCTCAACAAACGATCTTACAAACTCGAAATTTTAATAAACGAGTTGAAACAATTCATTTTGACTCTCGGTGTAAAGACGTGTAGCATAATCGGCCACGACCTAGGAGGACTTCTGGGATGGTACATGGTCGCTCTACACAGCGATCTCGTTTATAAATTTATAGCCATTTCGAGTCCGCATCCCAATTTTTATTGGAATAGAATATCAAGAAATTCTATTTTAGACAAAAAGTAAGCATTTTCGAAATTCCGTTTATGAAGATTCCTGAAGACTTTACATGAAATTTGATTATATATTTATGTATTTTAACTGCAAACGCACAATGTGACGTTCTAGATGGCTACATTTCAGCAGATTACCATTTTTGCCAGAAATAGATGCGCTTAAAGAGGATTTATCAATTATCAATGAAGTATTTCGACATCTTCAAGTATCTCAAGATGACAAAGAAAAAAGTTACGTCGAGGCGTATAAATATGCTTTCAGTAGGAAAGGTAATTAATATTAAGTCTTATATGTAAAATAATTTTTGTATCATATGTTATTCTTCTCTTATGTTTTTCATATTCAAAAAATTAATACAACGTTTTGTAGAGGATTGGACAGGACCGATTAATTATTATCGCAATCTACCATTCACAAGACTGAATACAGATAACGGCGAACAGATAGATAACAAAACGCTACTTCTAGTAGGAAATATGGATCCTTTTGTAACAATAGAGAGCATTATTCAAAGTGCCGAATACGTAGAAGTATCTAGGGTTAAAGTCATACCACAGACGCAACATTTTCCGCATCAAGAAAAATCGGATGCCGTAAATAAGGCAATTATTAAATTTCTAAAAGGTGAGTTTTTTTCGCCCGTATAAAATTTCCTTACAAAAATAATATTATTTAATAATAATGTCGATATACTTTGTGTATATAAAATGTTTTAGGCGCTACATATAATTTGGCGCTTTCAAAAACGCCAGTAAAGAGTCTCATGTCTTCCTGGTTAGGATCTTTGAGTAACACCGTTAAATATGGTAATCAAATGATTGACGTTGTGCACAAACGAACTAATGACATTGTAAATGTGTTACCGAATAAAGCACTTTATTTGGGACAAACAAGTTAAATGGTGTTACATCAGCGTTACGTTATTTAGAAGTACTTTGTACTTCATTACGAACACAAATCTATATATCCTACCTACGCTAACGCTGACTACGAAACTCATAAAAGGCTGATTTTGTCTTATTTATTACTTATTTCTTATGTAAGTATAGCATTATAAATGGGAATTGCAATTTTTGTGAATGATGAAATCTTATTGTATAAAAATATCTATCACATTCACTTTTACGATTATATCTCGAATTTTTTAAAATATTTTATACATGTTCTCGCGGTAAGGTCTACATGACTAATATCTAAAAAAATGAATTTTTATAATTGTATAAGTAACCATTATCTAGAAACAAGAACATTAATGGAGAGCAATTTAAAATCTGTGTAATCTAATCTATTATTTTTTAATATCTTCAATAAAAACCAACATAATCTTCAATTGAATAATATTAATATGGATTATATAATTAATATTAATATTTTATTATAACATTACATAATTAATATTATAATTATATATGTAATATAACTATAAATAGAATTATAATAATTATGTACAAAAACATTTCTGTATCAAAATTGTAATATAAGAACTATTTAATGTAAGAATTTTACTAGATATTAACTGTATATCGATTAGCTATTGTGCAGCAACAGATAAACATTTTGTTGCATATTTGAATCTCAGAGCGCATAGACAACAAATATTTCCTTTATAATAATTTAACATTAAGAAGCAATATTGTTGGTTATTTGTAAAGTCATAAGTTATCATAAAATGCAATATACATTATATAAATATATAATTGTTATATAAAATTTGTGATACAAAACATTGGTACTATATGTATATGTATATATATATCTCGCGTCATGACGCTTCATTTGTCTTAACGCCAAGACACTACTGTGTCTCCAGATATGATAAACAGATACAAATTATGTATGAAAATTCTTTTTCTTTTCAGACATGATTATGATAGTTCATTAAAAAAAAAGTGTAATTATACCAATCTTTTGTATAAACTTGATAAAAACATCGATGCATAAAATAACTTAAATGGTTGAAAACGTGCCGTGATAAATATTTTTGAAATATTTAATTATGGTAAATTATTGTAAAAGTCAGTATCAGTTACCAAGTCAATATTCTTCCTTGGATTTTTCTCTGAAAGGTATAAGATTTGTTACATATTAACAAAATTGTAAAATTAATAGAAATATTTTATAGTATTTATAGTTCCATACTTTCCAAAATTTTCGGCGTCTTCTATTGTCTCTGGTAATTCGCAATTCATCGTTTCTGGTAAAAATAAACAGAGTATAGCGCCTAATATCGGCCCTATGCCAAATATTACCGGAGGCAGCCAAGGTTGAATAGTACCCTATAAATGATTACGTCTCTTTAATCTTAAAATAATTATTTGTACATACATAAATAAATAAATATAAAATAAGATATACTCTTAATCATAATATAAACTATTTCATTGTAGAAACATCAGTTAATGTATATATATAATACGCATCATAAATTACCATTGTGGCAATGAACGGTGCAATTATACTTCCGATTCTGGCAGAAGTACTTCCCAAACCAACGCCAACATTTCTTACGACAGTCGGAAATACTTCACAACTGTACAGGTATACTGTAGGAAAGCTAATAGCCATACCCACGAGCCCTAGTGAAGCTAAAAATATCCGGACGTTTCCATTGGTTATAAGAGTTATCAGAAGCAAACTCACGCCGGATAAGATGTTTCCGCTTATTAAAATTTTTAAACGCGAAACTCGCGATATTAAAAATAGTACTATTATGGTTCCAGGTATTTCCATGGCGGCTGTAAGTCACAAAAAATGTTACAATGTATAGTGGCAGAATTTAGTGTAAGATTTATTATTAATTTTACCAGAAACTGCGACATTGATGAATATATTGCCGTCAAGATGACCCATGTATTGTGCCAATCCGAAGAAACAGATACCACAGACGAACCAGTTGACACTCACATATGTAGTTTTCAATCTCAAATTCGGGGTTCTAAATAAATGCGTAATATTGTATTTCTTATTATTCTTCGCGTGTTGGATTGTCATCTGATTCTCGTAAGTTTCAAGCGCTAGCTTTACATTTTCCATTGGTATCTTGTTTCTTCCGGCAGCTTTCAGCAAGATTCGTTCTGCCTGCCTGTATTTGCCTATAGCTAGTAACCACCTCGGTGATTCCGGAATAATCCTATTTTGCAAAATATCGACTCTTAATAAATTGATTTTTTGATACATATATTTCGCAAATCTTAAAAATATCTCTTATTTCGCTTTTATAACAGCGTACGTAATTCATGTGCATACCAATAATACGATAATAAGAAAATTGATGGTATTGACACGGCCATTTGAAATCCATACCATGTAAGTGTCAAATAAGATATCAAGGGATTCATTACATGTGCGATTAAAAAAGGTACGTGATAAAGAACCGACATAATCGATCGCCATTCGACTCCAATAATCTCCATAACTGCAACCGATTGATTGATAAATTTCGTAAATTAGACTTCCTAAATTAATAACTTTATTACGCTTGCAACTTACGTAAAACGAAGCTGACGAGCATTGTTCCGCCAGTAGATACGGCACAAAGAAATTTGAGTATTAGGAACAATTCGTACCATGGTGCAAATGCACTTGCAAATCCTGTCACCGATTGCAGTGCAATTGCGATTATTAACGGTCTCTTTCGGCCAATTCTACGAGTAAATTTCATTAATATTAATAAAATGAAAAAAACATACGTATATATATATTTTATATTACTCTATGAAATAATAATCATTTATGTCATCACATATTTTGCAACGACTTCGAATTAACGTACCTATCAGCCATCATACTGAAAATTAAATTACCGACGAGTACACCAAACATTGTGCAAGATTGTGCTAAATTAGCTAATTGTTCTCTATCACATACTAAATCCCACTGAAAAAATGAATATATAATTGACATAATTATTCACATATATCTCTTTATTATTTTATATTGGAATACTTAATTATCAATTAATTGATAATACATACATATATGAAAAAATATATATATAAGGTCATATTGAATTAAATTATATTAATTTACCTGCGTTATGATACTCTCTCGGAATATTCGCTTATCGTAACTGAATTCAGTGCACTCTTCTATTGTACCATTCCCAACATCAACTTCACATTTCATTATCATGGAGTCGTTAGTTGCTGACAAAGGAGCGATGCATGAGAAATTAGTAGGCGGTGCAAGGAACACAATAGAGAGCTGATGCCAAGCTACTGGAAATTTAACGAGAGAAATCACCACGGCGATTACGATGTGCCATGGACCCATAGAGCCCATGGCCTCTTGGACAGGATCCAACGATACGTGACCTGAAAACATAATAATGAATTATTTGAAACAAAAAAGTGTATTTAAAAATATAAATGCGTTCATTAATTTTTTTTTTTATTAAGAAGTCTTTAATTATATTTATATGTAACTTTGTAATTCAAGCAGCTAGATTGGACATAATCCGCTCCGTAATTATTTTTTTGCATTTCTCCAAGCATCCAAATCAGAGTATACGATTATAATTAACATACTCTATACTTTTGGAATCTCTGTAAATGCCTCTGAATAGTGCTGCTAGTTAAATTAAATTAAGGATAATATCGCATCTACGCTAATTTGAGAGAAATAATCTGAATCGCAAAGAGTTAAATTATGAAGGATATATTTATATAAATTTTATAATCAATGATTCTGTATGCAATGATTCTGTAAAATTATTCAATACAATTTGCTAATCTTTTGTTTATTCTTCGCTTGAAAATAAGCAAGCTAAGCGAAGTATGATATTAATAATGTTTTGATGGGATATTAGCTTCTATCGATCGCTCTATATTGAATTCTAATCTAAACACCGCAAGCTCCACAAACCAAATCTAATAATAAGATGTAACATTTCCGCACAATTTATGATAATAATAATTAGCACTATTAAATTATCGCATTTAGAAGAATTTAACTATTGCAAAATAATGCAAAAAGCGATTAAACAATCATTGTCAGCTTCGATACTCTTTCCTAAATCTCACAAAAGATTATTATCAAACTTGAAAAATTGCGCAATTAAAAAATTATAGAAAGGATGGAACGGAAAATTTAGACTCGTGACAAAATAATGTATTTTTAAACGTCCTTTCACGCAATTCTCGAGAATAAAATTTATATAAAATTTACATTCTTATTCTAAATCTGCGGATTGTCTATTATAATTAAATGATAATTCTACTTGAATCTCTGCTGGGCTTTTTCGAATCACAATGAAACTTTTTCACGTTTTTCATCCCGCTTACGTGATGTCGCAGATATCGTCTTGTGTGTCAACGGATCTGATGAGATCCGTTACAGTAAACCCATAAAATTCTTCAAACCGGTATTACCTAACAGGACATATACATATAATTAGTGTGATTATGCTGTGCATATATCTACATATGTGCAACTGCAGATATATAACTTGTATGAAATATAGCTGCGTATCGTGTCACTGATACCTATATATAATTGTCCAATGTTAACTCGCAAGCGAAACCTTAGCAATTTTATCAAAATCGTATAGAATTACGCAGAATTAAGGCCAGTTTAAACGATATACGCAATTCGTTTCAGGATTTAGAATGGAATTCCAATTTAAAACGTTCCAATTTAAAACTCTGAACAGATATTAAAACGATTTATTAATTTCATCAGATGTCTATTTTGAATCAATTCTATATTATCTACTATATTATATATTTTTTTGTGTCTTGCACTTTCATATAAGTGCATGTATATTTTAATATATATTTTATATTAAAATCAATAAAAATATATTAATATATTGCACATCTCTTGAGTCTTCAATTATTGTTCCTGTATTACATACATTAAATATAAGATAAAAATTATAAATAAAATTCTATGTAAATTTGAATATAAATTATAGATTATATATAACTCAGCTTTAATAAAATTTGAGTTTTCAGCTTCAAACAATGCAGGGATTAGGAAAAGATTGTGAGTGCAATGGAATTACGTTAGATTCGGTTATTGATCTGTAACAATAAATAATAAATTAATGTATTATTGTACAGAAAGTTCTTTTTTTCTCCTTTGAAGTTTTACACGTTTCAAACAAAAGGTCAATCTATGTGAGAAAGAAATAGCTATTTTTCAACATTACATACATAAGTCATACGTAAACTTTATCTTCATTTTTAATTTCATTTACAATTAGT